TTTCATTTTTTCTGCCAAAGTGGAGTATCTTGCATTTGTCACTATTGAACTTCATTTTGTTAGTTTTGGCCCATCTCTCTAATCTGTCAAGATCGTTTTGAATCCTGCTCCTGTCCTCTGGAGTATTGGCTATCCCTCCCAATTTGGTGTCGTCTGCAAACTTGATGATCATGCCTTCTAACCCTTCATCTAAGTCATTAATAAAGATGTTGAACAGGACCGGGCCCAGGACGGAACCCTACGGCACTCCGCTCGTCACTTCTTTCCAGGATGAAGAGGAAGCATTGGTGAGCACCCTCTGGGTTCGTCCATTTAACCAATTACAAATCCACCTCACCGTAGTTTTGCCTAGCCCACATAGGACTAGTTTCCTTGCCAGAAGGTCATGGGGGACCTTGTCGAAGGCCTTCCTGAAATCCATGTACGCTACATCCACGGCATTCCCCGCATCTACCCAGCTTGTTCCTCCATCTGCTCCAACAAGTGGAATAGAAACCATGAAAATGAACACAATCTGGTTACCACTATTTTAAAAAATCCAAAATCATAACAGTAACTAAAGAACAACATTCAAAAATCTCCCAAACAAAAGATGGCCTCAGGCAGCAACAGCCAGGCGACCTCTATGCACTGATTGGCTCTTCAGCTGCAAGGCTACTCAATGGGCCAGCTTGATTATTTATTTTATTTATTTTATTTTATTTACTGCATTTGTATACCGCCTTTCTCAGCCAGAGGCGACTCAAGGCGGTTCACAGTCGGCAGCAATTCGATGCCATAACAAATATCAAAATACAGTTAACAATATTATAAAAACAATTCCACATTGAAAATCTCACTCTAAAGAAATGCTCTGTGCGTAACGAGTACCTTAAAAACAAAAGAACCAATGAATAAAATCACACCAAATTTGGCAACAAAACATCTCACAACACAAGGAGTGACCATCACTCAAAAAATTATGATTTTGTCATTTGGGATTTGTAGTTGCTGGGATTCATAGTTTACTTACAATCAAAGAGCATTCTGAACTCCACCAATGATGGCATTGAACCAAACGTGGAATACAGGACTCCCATGACCAACAGAAAATACTAGAAGGGTTTGGTGGGCGTTGACCTTGAGTTTTGGAGTTGTAGTTCACCTACATCCAGAGAGCACTGTGGACTCAAACAATGAAGGATCTGGACCAAACTTGGCACAAATATTCCATATGCCCATATATGAACACAGATAGAGTTTGGGGGGAAATAGACCTTGACATTTGGGAGTTGTAGTTACAGGGATGTATAGTTCACCTACAATCAAAGACCATTCTGAACCCCACAAATGAGAGAATTGGTGCAAACTTCCCACACAGAACCCCCATAGCCAACAGAATATACTTAAGGCCATCCAGTCCAACTCCCTTCACCAGGGCAAGAAAACATAATCAAAGCCCTCTGGACAAAGAGCCATCCAGCCATAGAAATAGATAGATATATATGATTCACACACAGAGAGATATAATATCATAGATTTGAACGGGACCCCTAAAGAATGACCATTATATGTTGCATGTTCCAGAGTAGGCAAACCAGAAAATCTCTACATCAACACTGACAAAGAAACAACAAGAAATACTGTTTACCCACAAGCAGAAAGGAATTACATATATTAGAGACCAACACTTTCTAGTTACTTTATTTTCCAGATCACCAGACTGGGCCACAGCAACGCATGGCAGGGGACTGCTAGTAACAGTAACTAAAGAACAACATTCAAAAACAGGGGAAGCTCCCAAACAAAGGATGGCCCCAGGCAGCAACAGCCAGGCGACCTCTATGCAGATACCCTCACTGATTGGCTCTTCAGCTGCAAGGCTACTCAATGTGCCAGCTCGATTAGCATTGAATAGCCTTGCATTGAATTCACCAGTTTCTGAGTGTGGGGATTCCAGACAGCAAACACTCAAATGCCAGTTAACACCTCCCAAACAAAGGATGGCCCCAGGCAGCAACATCTCACTGATTGACTCTTAGCATTTTATAGCCTTGCAGCTTCAAAGCCTGGCTGCTTCTTACCTGGGGGAATCCTTTATTGGGAGGTGTAAGCTGGCCCTGATTGTCTCCTGCCTGGAATTCCCCTGCAATTGATGAACCAACGTGGACACAGCATATTACTTGAGAACACAGAAATACTGGACCGCTCTCACAACTACCATGTCAGACTACACAGAGAAGCCATCGAAATCCACAACCATGAGGACAATTTCAACAGAAAGGAGGAAACTGTGAAAATAAACAAAATCTGGTCACCAGTATTTAGAAACTCCAAAATCAGGAGAGTAAATAAAAAGCAACACTCAAAAATCAGGGGAACTTCAGACAAGAAACAATCAGGGACAGTGAATCACCTCCCAACAAAGCATTCCCCCAAGCAGGAAGAAGCTACACCTTGAAAGTGCTAGGCCATTAAATGCTAATCAAGGTGGCCAATGGAAACATTCACACCTTCCTCCAACAGACAAGAGTTCTTTCTCCCACCCTTGACATTATTCCACAGATATATAAACCCAATTCTCCTAATTTCCAACAGACCTCACAACCTCTGAGGATGCCTGCCATAGATGTGGGTGAAACGTGAGGAGAGAATGCTTCTGGAATATGGCCATACAGCCTGAAAAACTTACAACCAAGTGGCATGGACATTATCTCCATCCTTTCCTGGCTCTGTAGCTTTTTCTCAGTGCTAAATGCCTGCTTAGTAAGGCTGTTCTGTGGATGGACAGGAGGACATCCAGAGAAGGCCAATCTCGTCCTACTTCTGCTCCAACAAGTGGGATGGACATCTATCTCCAGCAGACTTTGGAGACCATGCTTTTGGATTGTCTTAATGGTAAATAAAGCCAGAAGGGGACAAAAAGACACATTGAGGAAGCCAGTCAGCCTAGCAAGACAGTTCTGTGGATACAAGGACATCCAGAGAAGGCCAAGCTCTTCCTCCATCTGTTCCGACAAGTGGGATGGACATTATCTCCATCCTTTCCTGGCTCTGTAGCTTTTTCTCAGTATTAAATGCCTGCCTAGCATGGCTGTTCTGTGGACATGAGGACATCTAGAGAAGGCAAGCTCTTCCTACTTTTGCTCCAACAAGTGGGATGGACATCTATCTCCAGACTTTGGAGACCATGATTTTGGATTGACCTGCTTCTGAAGAAAGCTAGAAGGGGTCAAAAATACACCTTGAGATGGAACCAGAAGTAAACCTGCCTAGCATGGCTGTTCTATGGACACGAGGACATCCAGAGAAGGTCAAGCTCTTCCTCCATCTGTTCTGACAAGTGGGATGGACATTCGCTCCATCCTTTCCTGGCTCTGTAGATTTTTCTCAGTATTAAGTACCTGTCTAGCATGGCTGTTCTGTGGATATGAGGACATCTAGAGAAGGCCAAGCTCTTCCTACTTTTGCTCCAACAGGTGGGATGGACATCTATCTCCACACTTTGGAGATAGATTTCCAGAAGACATCTATCTCCAAAGGAAGAGCTTGGCCATATAGAGAAGGCCAAGCTCTTCCTACTTTTGCTCTGACAAGTGGGATGGACATCTATCTCCAGACTTTGGAGATAGATGTCCAGAAGACATCTATCTCCAAAGGAAGAGCTTGGCCATCTAGAGAAGGCCAAGCTCTTCCTACTTTTGCTCCAACAAGTGGGATGGACATCTATCTCCAGACTTTGGAGACCATGCTTTTGGATTGACCTGCTTCTGAAGAAAGCCAGAAGGGGTCAAAAATACACCTTGAGATGGAACCAGAAGTCAGCCTGCCTAGCAAGGCTGTTCTGTGGACATGAGGACATCAGAGAAGGCCAAGTTCTTCCTGCGTCTGTTCCGACAGGTGGGATGGACATCTATCCCCATCCTTTCCTGGCTCTGTGGCTTTTTCTCAGTACTAAATGCCTGCCTAGCAAGGCTGTTCTGTGGATAGGAGGACATCTATCTCCAGCAGACTTCTGAGACCACGCTTTCGGATTGACCTGCTTCTGGAACCAGTAGCTAGCCTACTTAGCATGGCTGTTCTGGGGATATGAGGAGATCCAGACAAGGCCAAGCTCTTCCTACTTCTGATCTGAGAAATGGAGTGGACATCTACCTCCAGCAGACTTCTGAGACCACGTTTTTGGAGGGACCTGCTTCTGAACAAAGCCAGCTTGGGGTGGCATTGGAAGGGGCTGAAAAGAGACCTTTAGATGGAACCAGAAGCCAGCCATCTGTCTCCCCTGTGGACGCAACAGTGGAAGGATCCAAAGTGGGAAGAAACGTGGGCCATGAAGCCCCTGCAGAATCATAGCATCCTAGAGTTGGAAGAGACCTAGTGGGACATCTAGTCCAACCCCATTCTGCCAAGAAGCAGGAAAATCGCATTCAAAGCATCCCCAACAGATGGCCATTGAGCCTCTGTGTAAAAGCCTCAAAGAAGGAGCCTCCATCATAATTCCAGTGCTGAACAGCTCTCTCTCACAATCAGGAAGTTCTTCCTCATGTTCAGGTGGCATCTCCTTTCTTTCCTGTAGTTTGAAGCCATTGTCCTGCGTCCTAGTCTCCAGGGAAGCAGAAAACAAGCTTGCTCCCTCCTCCCTGTGGCTTCCTCTCACATATTTATACATGGCTATCATATCTCCTCTCAGCCTTCTCTTCTTCAGGCTAAACATGCCCATCTCCTTAAGCCGCTCCTCATAGGGCTTGTTCTCCAGACCCTTGATCATTTTAGTCGCCCTCCTCTGGACACATTCCAGCTTGTCAATATCTCTCTTGAATTGTGGTGCCCAGAATTGGACACAATATTCCAGGTGTGGTCTAACCAAAGCGGAATAGAGCATGGAGAGCAGGACTTCCCTGGGCACTAGACCCCTATTGATGCAGGCCAAAATCCCACTGGCTTTTTTAGCTGCAGCATCACATCGTTGGCTCAACTTGTTCCCCAGGAGGACTCCAAGAAGAAAGAGTGAGCATCCTTACCTGGCATATCTGGTCTTCTGAAAGTCCAGGAAGCTGGAGATGAACATCTTGGTGGTTCCATTAGAATCCAGGTTGGGTGGCTGGGATGGAGAGAAAGGAGGAGGAGGAAGAGGAGAAAGAAGAAGAGAGGATGGGAGGAGGAGAAGAAATGATGAAGAAGAGGGAAGAGCAAGAGGAAGAAAAGGAGTAAGGAGGAAAAGGAAAAGGGAAAGAGAGGAAGCGGGATGAAGCGGAAAATGATGACGATGGAATACAAAGAGGAAAAAGAAGAAAGAAGAGGAGGGACAAATAGTGACCAAGAGGGAAGAGGAAGAAGAAGAGGAGGGAAAAGAAGAGGAAATAGGAGGAGGAGGAAAAACGATGGAGAAGAAGGAATATAAAGAGGAGAAAGAAGAAGGAATGGGGGAGAAGGAGGAGGAAATTGGCGATAAAGAGGGAAGAGGAAGGAGAGGAGGAGGAGGAGGGGGAGAAAGGAGAAGAAGCAGAGGGAATGGGAGAAGGAAAAACGAGAGGAGGAAGAAGAAGGAATGGGAGGAGAAGGAGGAGGTAAGTGGTGATAAAGAAAGAAGTGGAAGAAGGAGAAGAGGAGGAGGAGGAGAAAGGAGAAGAAGCAGAGGGGAGGAGAAGGAAAAACGATGGAGAAGAAGGAATAGAAAGAAGAGGAAGAAGGAATGGGAGGAGAAGAAGGAGGAATGTGATAATAAAGAGGGAAAGAGGAAGAAGAACAGAAAGAAGAAGAAGCAGAGGGAATGGGAGGGGGAGGAAAAATTATGAAGAGGAAGGAATGAGAAGAGGAGGAGGAGAAGAAGGAATGAAAGGAGTAGAAAAATGATGATGAAGAAGAGGGAAGAGCAAGATGAAGACAAGGAGTAAGAAGAAGAGGGAGGGGGAAGAAGAAGAGGGAATGGGAGGAGGAGAAGGAAGAGGAAAACGATGATGAAGAAGGAATGCAAAGAGGAAGAAGCAGAGGGAAGAGGAGGAGGTACAAATGATGATGAAGAGGGAGGAAGAAGAGGAGGAAGAAGGAGGGCAATGGGGTGGAGGAAGAGGAGGGAGGAGAAGGAGAAGGAAAACAATGGAGGGAAGAGGAAGAAGAGGGAAGAGGAGGGGGAACCGACGTGTCGGGAGGAGTTGAGGATGGAAGCCAAGTCTTTCTCCTTCAAGCCTTCGGACTCTTCTTACACAAGAGAGGGATTCCTCCTGCCTTCTCTCTCTGACTGCTTGCCTGCCTTCTTCTCAGGCGGAGTGGCTTCTCTTCTCTCTCTCTTCTCTCCTGGCAGTTCTCTGCCTCTCTCTTCGAAAGCAGAGCGACTCCGGCTCTCTCCCTTCCTCTCTTCCAAAGGGGAGTGACTCCGTTTCCCGTTCTCTCTCTCTCTCTCTCTCTCTCTCTCTCTCTCTCTCTCTGGCATCCCCCAGCCTTTGCTTCTCTTCGCCCCCCTCCTCTTCCTCTTCCTCTTCCTCTTCCTCCTTCTTTCCCCCCTTTTCCTCCCTCCTGGGGCTTCCCCGAAAGAGGCTGGGGATTCCCTCCGGAGAAGGTCGGAAAGGTGCCGGGTGGGAATGGAGGGGGAGAGAAAGGAAGGGGAAAAGGAGGAAGGAAGGAGGGAAGGAGGAAAAGAGGGAGGGAGGAATCCGTGGGGCGAAGGGGTGGAATGGCCCACGGAGTGGCTGCCCTCCGGGGCCAAAGGCAACCGGGCCAATCGCCTGTTGGATCAGGAAGAGAGCTAGAAATAGCAACACACACAACACCAACTCGAGGCACACACCAACACACACACACACACGCCGCCCACAACAATCTCTCTCTCTCTCTCTCTCCATCTCGCGTGGGAACCTTTCTCTCCTCTGTTACACACACGCTTATGTTCTCCCTGCCACACTACACAGCCATCTCCTTCCCTCTTTTCTTCACACTCTTTCTCACACACATATTACACATGCCTGTATTCTTTCTTTTCTTCCTTTTTCCATCCTCTGTTCATGTATTTATTTAATTAATTACTTAATATAATAATATACTTTATTTATATTGTCCAAGGCTTTCATGGCTGGAATCACTAGGTTCTTGTGGGTTTTTTCGGGCTATAGGGCCATGTTCTAGAGGCATTCTCTCCTGACGTTTCACCTGCATCTATGGCAAGCATCCTCAGAAGATGTGGCTCCAGCAGACAAGAGCTCTTTGCCCCACCCCGGTCATTCCACAGATATATAAACCCTTTTTTTTCCCTAGTTCCAACAGACCTCACTACCTCTGAGGATGCTTGCCATAGATGCAGGCGAAACGTCAGGAGAGAATGCCTCTAGAACATGGCCATTAAGCCTGAAAAAATCTACAACAACCGTTTTGCCTGCATCTATGGAAAGCATCCTCAGAGGTAGTGAGGTCTGTTGGAATTAGGACAATGGGTTTATATATCTGTGGAATGGCTGGGGTGGGGCAAAGAGCTCTTCTCTGCTGGAGCTAGGTGTGAATGTTTCAACTGACCACCTTCATTAGCATTTGAAGGCCTGGCTGAGCCTGGGGGAATCTTCTGTTGAGAGGTGTTAAGCTGTGCCTGGTTGTTTCCTCTCTGCTGTTTTGCTGTTGTGATTTTAGAGTTTTTTAATACTGGTAGCCAGATTTTGTTCATTTTCATGGTCTCCTCCTTTCTGTTGAAATTGTCCACATGCTTCTTGTGGATTTCAATGGCTTCTCTGTGTAGCCTGACATGGTGGTTGTGAGAGTGGTCCAGCATTTCTGTGTTCTCAAATAATATGCTGTGTCCAGGCTGGTTCATGAGGTGCTCTGCTATGGCTGACTTCTCTGACTACTTTATTTATATTCCACTCCATCTCCTCGAGGGGACTCAGGGCAGATTACAGAACGCACATACCATTCAATGTCGTAATACAATTAACAAGGGCAGAAAGTAGATAAACAGAGGTAAAGGCTTTTCCTATCTTTTCCATCTCTGGCATCTGGAGGCTGTGCTTAACTCCAGCCACAGGGAGGTGCTGTCGCTCCATGTTCCATGCCAAGGAGCTTTGTTACAATCATAGAATCATAGAATCAAAGAGTTGGAAGAGACCTCATGGGCCATCCAGTCCAACCCCCTGCCAAGATGCAGGAATATTGCATTCAAAGCACCCCTGACAGATGGCCATCCAGCCTCTGTTTAAAACTTCTAAAGAAGGAGCCTCCACTACACTCCAGGGCAGAGAGTTTCACTGCTGAACGGCTCTCACAGTCAGGAAGTTCTTCCTCATGTTCAGATGGAATCTCCTCTCTTGTAGTTGGAAGCCATTGTTCCATTGCGTCCTAGTCTCCAAGGAAGCAGAAAACAAGCTTGCTCCCTCCTCCCTGTGGCTTCCTCTCACATATTTATACATGGCTATCATATCTCCTCTCAGCCTTCTCTTCTTCAGCTAAACATGCCCAGCTCCTTAAGCCGCTCCTCATAGGGCTTGTTCTCCAGACCCTTGATCATTTTAGTCACCCTCCTCTGGACACATTCCAGCTTGTCAATATCTCTCTTGCATTGTGGTGCCCAGAATTGGACACAATATTCCAGGTGTGGTCTAACCAATTTATTTATTTATTTTATACACTTGTATACCGCTAATATCTCAGCCTAAGACGGCGACTCATTGCGGTTTACAGCAGTTAAAAACAATATACAATTTAAAACAGCAGTACATAAACAATACAAATTATTGGGCCACCAATAATCATACCATGCATCTCATCAATAAAATCACAATCCAGAATTCGTCACCCATCATTAACCAGTCCTTAGTCAGCAAAGTTCGGTGATAACAGACTAACCGAATGCTTGTTTAAACAACCAAGTTTTCAGTGATTTCCGAAAAGCCATCAGCGAAGAGGCAGATCGTATCTCTATAGGGAGGGTGTTCCAAAGCCGAGGGGCCACCACAGAAAAGGCCCTGTCTCTCGTTCCCACCAGCCGCACTTGTGAAGCCGGTGGGATAGAGAGCAGGGACTCCCCAGAAGATCTTAGGGTCCTGGTGGGCTGATAGGCTGAGATACGTTCGGATAGATAAGTTGGGCCAGAACCGTTTAGGGCTTTAAAGGCCAACGCCAGCACTTTGAATTGAGCCCGGTAGCAAATCGGCAGCCAGTGGAGCTGGTGCAGCAAGGGAGTTGTATGCTCCCTGCGCCCCGCTCCTGTTAGTATCATGGCTGCCGCCCGTTGGACTAGTTGGAGCTTCCGGGCTGTCTTCAAAGGCAACCCCACGTAGAGAGCGTTGCAGTAATCAAGGCGGGATGTAACCAGAGCGTGGACTACCATGGCTAAGTCAGACTTCCCAAGGTACGGTCGCAGTTGGCGCACAAGTTTTAACTGTGCGAATGCTCCCCTGGTCACCGCCGAAACCTGGGGTTCCAGGCTCAGCGATGAGTCCAGGATCACACCCAAACTGTGAACCTGCGTCTTCAGGGGGAGTGCGACCCCATCCAACACAGGCTGTAACCCTATACCCTGTTCGGCCTTACGACTAACCAGGAGTACCTCTGTCTTGTCTGGATTCAATTTCAATTTGTTCGCCCCCATCCAGACCGTCACAGCGGCCAAGCACCGGTTCAGGACCTCGACAGCCTCCTTAGTAGCAGATGGGAAGGAGTGACAGAGCTGGACATCATCTGCGTACAGATGACATCTCACTCCGAAACTCCGGATGATCTCGCCCAGCGGCTTCATGTAGATGTTAAACAACATGGGAGACAGTATTGAACCCTGAGGAACCCCACAAGACAAAGGTTGTGGGGTTGAACAGGAGTCTCCCAGTAACACCTTCTGAGACCGACCCTCGAGGAATGAGCGGAGCCACTGCAAACAGTACCTCCAAGACCCATCCCCGCGAGGCGTCCCAGAAGGATACCGTGGTCGACGGTATCGAAGGCCGCTGAGAGGTCGAGCAGCACCAACAGGGACACACTCCCCCTGTCGAGCTCCCGACGCAGATCATCCACTAAGGCGACCAAGGCTGTCTCAGTGCCATGCCCCGGCCTAAAGCCAGACTGTGCCGGATCCAGATAATCCGTGTCTACCAAGAATGCCTGGAGTTGTGAGGCCACCACACGTTCCATGACTTTGCCCAAAAAGGGGAGATTGGAAACAGGCCGATAGTTGACGAATTGAGTG